CGCCCCGCCCCGCCCCTCCCCACCTCCCCCTGACCCTGGCAGGACGTGGTTATGGAGCTCCAGACAAACAGGAAACTGCGATCAGGCTCATCGCTGTCCTTCACCGCGGTGATGTCACTCCTCCGCCGGCCAGCTGGTCAGCAGGAAGTCGATAACAGAGCTCAGAAATGCGCCGCGTTCCCTCAGACACGCACAGATATGGGATTCAGGAAAGTCATGAAGGACAAAAACATAGGAACACCTCAGCAGCTGCTCAGTCTGCTCCAGATTCATCACCTCCTCATCCTCCGCCTGCTGCTCATCACACAGACAGCAGGGGGCGGCGACACGCCATTCCTCACTCCTGTGATACATTTAACAATCCCAGCAACGCCCTTCGTGATTGGTGTTTATCTCAATCATGTCTGTGAAGCTTCTCGCTCATCGTGGTCTAAGGAGCTTGGAAAGAAACGCGTCTGGACTGCAGACCTGAAGCGTCTCAGAGGTGAAACATCTTCAAGCCACTTAGTCCAGACGCTTTTCTTTGCAAGCTCTTAGACATCACGGCGCTGTCAGACTGTCTGCCTAGAGAACGCGGCGTGTTCCTGTCTCCTTTATTGATTATCGATCAGCTGGAAGGCGGAGCTCCTCCCAGTCCACCCAGTTCTCCTGAGCCTGTGACTCCACTCTACACTACCCATGATTCTCAGCAGCTGATTGCGCCAAACATGGATCCAGAGTTGCCCTCTCTCTGCTCTCTGATTGGATGACTCCAAAGCTCTTTGTAGTTGGCTCCTCCCCTAAGCTTTTTTCTTCATTCTTTTAAATTGACTGTTACTGTTTTAACCCCGCCCCCGTCACCTGTGGGTCTGCGGCCTCCCTCCCCACCCCCACGGGTCCCTGTGTAAATAGAAGTGAACTGGTCTCTGTAGGTTTGTGCTGTCGTCCGTTTGGCCTGATCTGTCGTGTTTGGAAGCGTGACGCTGGAGCGATGCTCCTCCTCCTCCGTAATTTTATTTTTTTATTCCTGTGTTCTGATCGTGTTGCTGTAACCAGAGTGTTTTTGAATAAAATGACTGAAATCTCCACGTCTTCTCCTTTCTCGTCACATCTCAATGATTCACGCCCTAAATTATGAAAACAATTTTATTTTTCACTTTAGAATAAAGAACAATCAGAAATGGAACGGCTCCTCGTGTTCTTCTTCCTGATGGTGTCGTCTCTCGATGTAGCTACGTCTATCACTGCGGCGTGCGTGTCCACCATCACCAGTTTGTCCAGCAGGAAGTCTTGGGGTTGGCTGCTGTGGCAGCGCCCAGCTCCTGGACTGTGTTCCTGCGCTGCCATGATCAGTTTCCAGTGATGATGAATGTTTTTGTGGAAATCTGCTGCAGGTTTCCAACCTGTTGGTTTCCAGCTGTAGTTGCAGCTCTTCGCCTGCAGAGGGCAGAGTTGTCCCTTTGTGACGGTCATAATGTGTCACCTGAGAACAGGCCAGATGTTTAGTTAAAATAAGTTCCCTGGTGAGCCACGCCCATTTTTCAGATGTTTTATTTTGAATATTTTGTAATAAGCAGATGAATCACTTACTGATCGATGATTGGTTCTTTCTGCTGACAGCTCATCAAATGATTTCACATCATTTCAGTCACACTTCCTGCTGTGAGTGCGTGTGTGTTTGACTCGACATACTCCTGTCATGAGCACTCGGTCCTCTGAAGATTTATTTTGTCCTTATATGGATGTACAGCACAATGAGGGGCGGAGCCAAGCACACGCAGCTCTGATTTTTGTGATAAAAATGTTTTACTTCACTTTTTATAGAAACTGTTTGAAGGAGGAAATTAAACAGAGTCTGGATCAGTCTCTGTTTTTCACAGACGAGCGTTCGGGCGTCTCACAGCGTCATGGTGACGATCAGGTGGTCAAAGTTCATCGTGAGACTCGTAAAGTCATAAAACTGATTTGATAAGCTTCAGGTGCCAAATCATTGACCTTGTTCCTCATCTTAAACCTGCTCTTTGATCTTTTAGCATTATAATCTGTCTCAGAGGTCAAAGGTCACCGTACAGAAGCGCGGGCTCTGTCTGTGATCATGAAACTGACCTCGCAGTCCGTCGTTGGTCAGTCATGAAGCAGAAGTGGTGTTTATGATGAAACCTGCAGTCAGCTGACACTGATGAGGTAACACACACACGCACACACACACACACACCTACACACACACCTACACACGCACACACACACGCACACACCTACACACACACCTACACGCACACACGCACACACACACGCACAGCTGCAGACGACGCCGATCCATCGATCTGATGTTCACCTCACATTTACTTACAGACTTTGTTTATGGCGCTTGGTGTTGTTCCCACAGGGAGGCGACTAACGCTGACCTGTGTGTGTGTGCCTCACCTGTGTGCTGCAGGTGTGTGTGTGTGTGTGTGTGCCTCACCTGTGTGCTGCAGGTGTGTGTGTGTGTGTGTGTGCCTC